CTAATGGTCAGGTCTGAAAATCTGAAAGTTAACAGAATAACAGCCTAATCATGTTTGTGCTGCAAACAGGGAAGTCTATTTTAAAATAAAATCCCCAGGATTGAAATGACAGGGTGGTGAGCATGAAACAGGCAAAAGGATTCTAGAAAACGAGAGGTATATTTTCAGTAAAATGCAATATCAAGAATACCAAATCAGAATATCTTATTTGGACTCACCATTAAAATAAGATGAAAAGGGGAAAAGTAAGCGTGTTTCTGGAGTCCCCATGAAAGGACCTAAACACAAGCAACTCCAAGAAAAAGTAGAACAATGTAGGCCTAGATACGAACGACTCAAAAGGACATCGCCAACCATATTTTAGAAAGTGTGTTTACGGCTTCCACGTGCTCAAAAGTGTTTGGTAAAAGGGCTCTGAGGGCGGATGGGCCTGAGCTGGGGCCGCTCCTCTGGGCGGCGGGCAGGGCCCTGGGCCTCCCACACGGCAGGGGTGGGCGCAGCTCGGGGGGGACCTGAGGACTGCCGGCACGAAGGCGTCCACACCTAGTGGCCGTGGGCGTGTGGCTCCGTCACTAGCCTGTTACCCGACCTTGGTTTTCCTGTGTGTGCCTCGATTTTTCCATTTCCAGAAAGAGAGTAACAGTCCTTGGCCGTTCACATCACTGCACAGACAGGAGGAGATTAAATCGCTCATGAAGACATGCTTCAACACTAAGGGTCTGAGACCAGCTGTCATCGGCTGTGCTTCTGTGACTTCTGGACTCTATTCCCAGCCACAGTCAGCTCCCTGGACAAACACTTCTTAGGGGTCTCATGGGAGCTGCAAACGCTTCCTTTCTTCTATTAAAATCGCATTTCCTTTCTTTCTACAACTATCAGGGAGCGCAAACATCATAGCCTCCAAGCACCACATAAGGTAAAAGCGCAAAGCCACATGGCCCACAGGTGTCACTGTTCCCACGCTCCACAATTTCACTCAGCCTCCCCTGTATGGAGGTATTTCCATTCTCGCATCCAGTTTACTTTTTCAATTGTAGTCAAATATACATAACACAGGCCAGTTCACTTTGGAGAGACAAAAATTAGATATTTTCAAGGTAACTTGGCCTTATTACACTGATCATTTTGATATATTTTATATATGGAGAGCGCAATAAAGATACAAAGGAAAACTACTCTCGTAGGAGGAGCAAAGTCACATTTCTGGAGAAAATTAAGGAGGAGGAATTCCGGCCAGATTTCCGTGGCAGCAACAGCAAAATCTCTTCCTGTCCTGGCACAGCGCTTGGCAGAGCTGTTCACAAAACGTTAAGTGCCAATCCTGCACCTCAAACCTCTGCCTGGGCTCTCCTTCAGGACAGGCAGCTCGCCGGGACTTTCACAGGGTCTGGGCCGGGTGGAAAAGGGGTTCCACCGCCGCCCCCTGGGCTCCACAGTGAGGGCAGAGCGCTTATGGGAACCAGGGGAAGCAGCTTCGCCCGGATGAGAAGGAGCCATCTGTGTCTTAGTTGTCATCAATAATGACAGAGCGAATGAAGATCAGACAGGCCGGGCAGGATGGCCAGCAGCCATGTCATTATTTGTCCTTTTATTACCGTTAGCACTGCTGTGAGGAATGACGGAATACATGCAAAGCTTGGTCCCGAGTGCACACGTTTACCTCTAATCATGTGTCCATAAGCATTATGCCAAATCCTAAAACTATAAAGAAGTGTGAGAAAAATTACCTGCCCCCGAGAAGCTTACCTTGCAGGAGCTTACTTTGCAGGAGCTGTAAATATACACTAAAAAGTAAACCCAAGATGGGCACCCACCAACAGGTAAAAAGTGCTACAAGAATTTGAAGGAACTCATCACTCTGAAAAAACTTTAAAAACTTTTTAAAAGTATAATTTCTTTGATAGTATATAATTGGAACAATTTTTAAAAATCATATCTCTGAGTCTAACAGGAGTACAGGTTATATAGGTGACAAACAAACGCCCAGACAGATTGCCAGAAAGCATCCGGCATAATTTATGCAGGACAGTTTGGAGGATGTTTAGATGCCGGGAAAAGGTTTTCTGAGGGTGCCTGTGTTTTCAGGAAGCAAGCGTCCATCGCAAGTCACTCTAATGTGTCTTCTAGCCCATTATTGCACCAAACAGCCGTCCCCAGGGCCTCGAGCTCTGCGGGCCACTGAACTCCGGAGACGCCACGCAGCACTGCGCTGCCCCCACCGCTACCCCTCGGGCACACACCCCTGCAGGTGCTGTTATGCCCATCACAGAATTCTACTGAAAATGCCTAACTGCTCCTGCTGGGGGTTCTGGAATTCTCCATGGCTTAAGACACTGACCACCACATCGCACTGTGTTGTGCGAAGGCACGCTCATGTGTGTCTCCCAGTTTACACGAGAAGGCAGTACGTCTCCAAGACCCATGAGCCTTCCGAGGCCGTGCTCCTGAAGGCTGTGTCCACACCGAGCGGTCGGACGACACGTTCCCACGCCTGCTTCTCCCTCACATCCTGCATGCACCGTCTGAGAGCCTGTGAGGAGACGAGGCTCAGACGCCACCCACAACGGTCAGGAAGTCTGGGGGGGCGGGAGTTAGCGAGCACTGAGCAGCCGTGCAGGTGACCACTGGCTGCAGTTTGAGAGACTTGCTCTGGGGCAGAAAGATGGCCTCTCACTACAGGGAACCTCTGGACCCCTCCCTCTGGAGACAATGTTTAGAGTCCTGTGTCGCCAAACCCAAGCGTTGACTGAACATTTATTCTGTGGAGGCTGTCAGAGACTTTCTCACTTAATTCAACACTAGCCTCCATGGTCCCCGTTCAGGTGACCCACAGGTTCCAAGGCAAAGTGCTGGGCGGCCGTCCTGCACGTGCCTTGCACACGTCCCTAGAGAGACGCAGCAGGAGGTGTGATCTGAGCACAGTCGGAACACGCATGCTGTGCATCGGGACTCCTCAGCCCTTTTCCTGGCTCTTGAAGGAAGTGACTGTCCAGCCGACCCCAGCATGGCTCCCACCCATTGACCTGACGTCCACTGTTGTCACAGCAGAAATCTGTGTCTTAAACAGGACAGGACCAACAAGATCATGTACGAAGAAGGACTCTTGTCCAACATCCCTTAAAAGCAAGCCTTTGCTCATACACAGGAGCAACAGGATCACCCTTTTATATAAAGTCGCATATTTTACTTCACTTAGCAAATTATAAAATATTCTAAGTAATAGTAATTTCTGTTAATTGGCATGATGGCTACTCAAATTCAACATAGCAAATCATGTCATAGGCCTTATGAAATGACTTAGGCATTTAGAAAATCATCCTAAATTTTAATTATTAATTTTTCTCACTCTAAAACTTTATCACAATATAAAAATCAGCTTGAGGCTATTTGTCAGGATTTCCTACAATATAAATCTTAAGCTGAGCTAATGGAATATGGTGCCAAAAAGATTAACAACAATATGTGACATCACTATGTCCCACTAGTCATTCCGAGAAAAGGAACCAAGACCCTTCTAGATGCTAACAACACCATCTTCGTGGATGTCTGTCAAAAGGAGCCGACGGGCCAGGGGACTGGCCAGGACTGCGAGGCCGTGCTCCTGAAGGCCGCGTCCACACCGAGCAGTCGGACAATGCGTTCCCACGCCTGCTTCTCCCTCACATCCTGCATGCACCGTCTGAGAGCCTGTGAGGAGAGGAGGCTCAGATGCCACCCACAATGGTCAGGAAGTCTCGGGGGGCTGGAGCCCTCCCTCTGGAGACCATGTTTAAAGTCCTGTGTTGCCAAGCCCAAGATGTCACCATGCTTCCTGGGACAGACAGGACTTCTTTACAGATGGCACCAATTTTTAAAATTTTTCATTTAATAAATATTTTTAGAGAGTGATTTATTCCCAATAAATATTAAAATATTCATGTGTATTAAACTAGAAATTTGGGTTGTAAGGGAGAAATTAGGTTATTTAAAATAGTTTGATATTACAGAGACGAAAATGGATAATGTCTTCTCTGTCATTGTTTCAGCAGACTTGCCCCTATAGTCAAAGTCATAGAAAACAGCGCTGACTCTAAGCTCTGCCGTTTAGTGTTTTGTGGGTCCATTTACACAGCTAGAGCCATGTCTGCATGACGAGTGAATGGCCAGCAAAAGAAACAGACACTCCTGTACGAAGGCCTCCTGGGAGCTGGTGACACTGTCCCAAAGAATGGCTGCAGAGGAGCCGCTGTGTTTTGCCAGTGGTCCCCGTGGTGTGGCCTATGTTATCAGAAAGGCTAAAAATCTTAAAAACTAGAGAAGAGGACTGGTTTTGGTTATAAAGACACGCACCTCAATTTCTACGTAAACACATAATGGATTCCAAGAGTAAAGCTTTAGGCAAAGCAATATTCCCCCCTTCTCACCAGAAAAAAAATACAGGGATAAGGTTTACAGTATGAATGCATTTTGATTATTCTTTTAACCTTTTTCTTAATTTCATTTTGAGAACAAGCACTTCCTGTGCGTATCACAGGCCGTGGGTCTCCAGTTTTCCTATTTCCCTCAGGAGTTCTGGAAAGCCCACGTTCAGGTGCGATGTCACCAAGGTAGTGCGATTCCACTTTATAGTAGATGCCCATGGGAATACTAATCTTTTTGAGGATTTTTTAATTTAAGGAGAGAAAATACTTCTATAGAGCAATACAGAGCCTGCATGAATAATTCCTAGCTCGCAGATGGCACAGTCACCCTGGAAAAACACTTTCTATTCTCTTTTACTGCACTTAAAGACAGTGAGAAACTGTGCCCGTGACAAATTTTCAGTGATATTAACAGGGCACTCACGATACATCAAAAAAATAAGAAATGTCATAGCGTGAGTTAATAAAGCAATTTGGCCGAATAAAGAACAGAAGTGTTTACAGTAAACCTCCAACCCAAGAGCTGGCCGGGTCCCTTACATCAAGCCCACGAAGCTGTGCGAACTCACGCACACTCACAGCAGCCTCTGGGTCTCGTACCTGAGACTGCGCGTTGATGTCGGCTCCCTCCTTGACGAGAACTCTGACAACCTCCGCCTGTCCCGCCAGAGACGCAATGTGAAGAGCAGTGTTCCCCTTCTGTTTTGAAAAAACCAAACAGAAAATGTTACCCGTTTCCAATTTTATAGAAATCCAAATGTACAGGCATCTTCAATTTTGCAGATTATTTCAAGTGGTTAGAACTTGTCATTCTATCAAGATCACAGCCAACGTTGGGAAGGGATCATTTCTGACCATCAAAACACCGACCACCCCGCACTGTGCTCTCTTCTGCCTGTCACAAGTCCAGGGTCAGCGACGGATGTGGCAGGGCTGGGCTCCCACCGGCCACCCACACGCTGCTGTGAGGGCCGTGAGGTGCGTGAAGTGTGAGTTCTTTCTGGGCCTAAAATTCTACAATTATAATCTGTGATTTAAAGGGAAACTATAATTTAAAATATCAAGAGTTTAAAGGGAAAGAAAAAAGAAAATAGCAAGAAACACTTAAGCAACCAAAGAGTGGTTGGTTTAATGAATACAGTGATGCGGACTGCTGGGGTGGGGGTTGGGGGGACGCCAACAGTCCGATATATATTCCAACTGACACTCTCTAACTACTTAACATTTACTTGATGTGATCAAGACAAATGTTAATAAAGAGGCTTATTTCTTCTTCATGTCCAAAGTAAGGAATTTGTTGCCAATAGTGATCTTATATTTTAACTTCTTTGGAATTGCCAGAGACATTGAGGTTTGTTTTCTGGTTTTTAAATTTCCACCAGAACTGCTGTGTCGGATGTTGTGAGCAGGGCCAGCTGTGTTTTGCAGATTATGCACAAGCTGAAGACCAGGTTCATGGCCTCATTCTAACGGCTCCAGCACCTCCCTGTCTGGCCGTGAAGGCACTAACGCCCCAGCTCCAGGCCCGAGTGCCCGCCTCTCTCTGTCTCGCCCACAACCATGGGTCATCCCACTGCAGTCCTGGTCCGCAAGCTTGATCTGATTGGCTACTGTTTTTTTCCAAATTAAAATTTCACCCCATAAAGACAAAGATTTGTCACCAGTGGTAATGTTTTTCAAATACCTGTTGTTTCTGAAATGACTCCCCAAACACACGCTCAAATGTATTTCAGCAAAAGCAGGATCAACAAGGGAGCACGTTTGTAGTGTACTAAGCACCTTGCCCATTTCCTTAGAAATGGGTCAGTTTCTTCACAAACATACATTACAGTGACAAAATCTAATTTTACCCTAATAATGCGATCCAGGACCCCAAATCTCTTTGCCATTAGAGCATAAAGAATTCTATATATTCTCTTACCAAGTTAAATGAATACATGAAAACACATAACAATTGAACTAAAGCATGAAAATGGCTTGTTCATTTCCACTGAGATGTTTACTATATAAATTTAGTTTAAAAAAATGAATGCACCTTAAGAAAATAGGAACTACTGTCTACAGAGGATATTAACCCAGTCTCTGTGTGAATCAAGGAAAAATGCCAAAATTTTATAAACGAGGTACACAGAATTGTCTCATGTCTGGTACGTCCCTAAACTTCAAACTCTGCCAAGTTTAATGGAAAAGTTTCAATTTCAGGTCTTCATCAGTAAGAATCTTGGTGTTCCAGCAAACAGGGAAAGGAGGTAAGCCCCTTCCTCTCTTCCGAGGAAACGACCCCAGCGTGCACTACCTTGGTGGCGGAGTCCACGGAGGACCCTCTTCCCAGCAGCTCCTGGACCAGCCCCACGTGGCCCTCCTTGGCAGCCAGGTGCAGAGCGTTGAGTCCATTCTAAAGGAGGAGAAACAGGCGTCAGAAGCGCGGACTGTGAGGGGACAGCTGTGACCCCACGCAGTTACAGCACCGACACAGACAGGCTCTGCTGTCCCCACTGTTCTTTCTTTTACTGCAGCTGGCAGCTACTGAGCTCAGAGAAACCAATTCCCAGTGTTTTGGATTCAGAGAGGCACAGAGGTGACTCTGTGGATTTGAAATGTGGATTGGGCAACTTCATGTAAACAAACTTTTTAAACTAAGAAAAATCTAAATACTTTTATGTTGAGAAAAAATAAGCAGCTGTATCATTTATTGTGCCAGCCAAAAATGAAATTCTGTCTAGTTTCTAGAACACAGATAGCTTTAAATAAATCTTCTTTTTAACAAATAGGAGAGAAATGTCCTTTTCATAAAAAGTAATTAGAAAGCCATAGAATAATTTCTAAGGTAACAACTTTGCAATGACAACATTGTGCTTAAAAGACATTGAGTATGTCAGATCGATGTCACTAATCTGAGTTCTTTTTTAATAGTTTAAAATTTATCTTATAATCTCTGAGAGCACTATAATACCTGGTTCCCATCTATATAATCCCTGAAAAATTAATCACTCACCATAGCACTGAAAAAAGTTATTGGAGGTTTCACTGAATATGCTGTCTGCACACACTACACTGACATGAAATGTAGAAGTTGAGCTTGTCGTACATGTAAGGAGAACCAAATAAAACAAATTCCACGTGGCAGACTTACATTGTGGTCCTTGTACATCTGATACTTCATGATTTTCTTATGGAGAGTACTCAGACTTTTACATTTGACTCATAAATAAAGTCATACTTGTCTTATTTGCAGAACATGGCCCTGGTTTCTCACACATGTTATCTGTGAGTAGCCGAAACACGAGCAACTGTACTATTAATACACACAGGTCATGGTTTCTGTGTTTACTGGCACAAAACAACGAGATTAAAGCACTTCCGAAATGTATTATTATATTCCCAGAAAATTTAGTAAATGAACCAACGGTAAAAACTTGAAAAGCATGGAGTTTTACGACCCCTGGGTTCCACCACTATGTCAACGATACCAGCTGCGTTTATTACACAGTAATGATTCAACAAACAAACATTATTTTTCACTCCCTTTGCCAGACCAAGGGAAGTTTACATTTTCAAGTTGTTTTCTGAGCTAATTATCCAACAGCCAGTCAGTCTGGTAACAGGAAGCCTTAATTTAAATAGACCTAATCCACATCACAAACCCATCCTGATAGTGTGGCCATCGGGTAGGAACTGCCAAAGAGATGAGTAAGCCTAGTGCGAAGTAGGAGCCTTGACTGTCCTGACGTCTGTTTATATATTCCACAGCATGGCACAGTATTGCTTCTCCTAAATTGTTTATGGAAAGAAAGCTTTTCCTCCGTGTCATGAGCCATCCCATAGGTGTTTCTGGAGAGTGGGTCCATTATTTCAGTCAGTAAAATTCAAATTTGGGGGTCTAGATGGCCAAGCAAACTGACATTTAAACAATTTTACATTTTAAGGCACTTAGTGTAAGAAGCTGCCTTTCCTTTTAACCAGCTCTAACCTCTACGTCAGTCTGAAGTCTTAGAATCTGCGTCTGAGAGGCCCTCTGTGAGGCCCTGGTCCCGTGACACCTGGCACTCAGCCCCAGACCTGGCACAGTCCCCCCTGAGAAGGGCTGTTAGATGAGTGAAGCACAGAGGGCATGTTTTCGTAAAGATGACATTTGCAAACAATCACAACTATTTAACATATTTGAAAGAAAAAGATGAAGGAGTTCCTAGAGTTTATAAGCTTTCTATAAACAGATCAGCATTTTTGTCCAAATGGGAAGAGATATTTGGTTTGGAGATATTTCCCAGGTGCTTGAGGCCTGCCCGTGGAACCACCGGACGTACCCGGAATTGTTACGTGCTGTCTAAAATCTGACACCACTTAATTCAGTAAGTTTTCCCCTGAGGGGCAAACTGTGGGCTTGGTCAAATAACCAAATCTCTCCGTGCATGGCTTCTGGGTCGACACTTCCTTTATGAATTCCCCCGAAGGCTGGAGGAACGGAAGCATCACTTGCTCTTTTGCAAGTGATTCTCTTTCTTTCAGTTTAAAAAAAAAAAAGTCCTTTTTGGTGACGTTTACACCCCACTAGAATTTTCCCATTCGCTCACATTGATTTTTTAGAAATTATTTTATCTGATGTCAATGTTTATTTAACTTAAAAAAGTTTAACCTGGGCCGGCCGAGTGGCGCGTTGGTTAAGAGCTGGCTTGGGATGCCAGAGGGCCCCGGTTCGGATCCCACATATGAGGGCCAGTGACACTGCCC